GCCTCATTGAATCTTTACTTTTTTCCTGCATCCATTTCTTCCAGCTGCCATGTTAAAATCTTTTTCTTCCAGCTCTCCCACACCAGTTGATAATATGCAGGTACTACTGTAGGTCACAGTGGTTTCTGTGCTCTTTCAGGGTCTCCTAGCACTGCTCAAAGACCTGTCCACACTGAACTGCATGTATTCCACAGACTACCATTTGATGGACTCCTTGCCTGAGAAGGCAATACTTCAGCAATGGACATTTCAAGTCTGCAGAATCACGGCCTTCACATATTAAGCAAAATACATGACAGAGTGCCAATTTTGGGAATTCTAGAATTTGGCAAAATGTCTACCTCCAAAACATAAAATTAAAACCAAACCAAAGCAATCCTGACTCCCAGTACTACTTTGCTGGAACAACCTTACTAGCACTTAAAAGCTTTTCCTCGAACTAATACTAGGAGCAACTTGACAACATCCACTTAGACAAACATAAAACATCTCCTGGTCTTGCTCTACAATAACTGGATCCCACAACTGTTATCTGGACTGTTGTTAAACTACAGTTTTGGCCAAGGACAACTTGCCGATTTGCTCCTTCCAAAAGCTAGGGGTAGAGATTAACCTGCTGTCCCCATGCTAAGACAATCCTGCTATAGGAAGAAGCCTTCTCAAACCAATTTTCCGGTTAAATGATGTGCAGTTATTTCTGCCAGAAGACAGTTACAGTTTCCATCAAAACTCAGGTAACATGCTGGAAAATCTCCAAAAAGTAGTAGAAATGGAGGCCTATTGTTTTAATATCAAGCTGGAGATTCCTGCTTAAAATAATGTTTCTAACACTTAGGTAACATTTTCAAAATGCCTTATAAAAGGCTCACATAATGATCAGCAATTAGACCACTTTTTAAACAAGTGTACATATGAAGGGTGGTAATATTAATCTTGCTGCCATTTTGACTGGCTTTGGGGCTTTATCAAGTGCATGCTTGTGTTACTCTTTCTACGTTCACAGTTGTAGTTTACTGGCATTTTCAGCAAGCTGACAAAGGGTCCTCCTCCTCTTCTGCCATACTAGCAATCATGGGATTGAAAAAGCCACAGCAAGTTCTTATGGTAGTGTAACCATTGATTATTTAATCATAAATAAGAGTCATGATCAAGTAATAGACATCATAAAAAGGACATTTTTCTGCCTAGATTTGTTTATTTAATAAATGCAATGAAAAACTACATTTAAAAGACATTTCTAGAAAATGCACTAAACCAAAAATATATGCATACAAAAAACTCCAAACGTAAGAATTACTGTCTACTCCAAAGAGGAAGCAATTTTATTAAACTACTATAGCTCATCTTATTCTCAGTCCCCATCACAGATGGGACTGAAACACAATTGTTTCTGGACAAAAATGTGACTGAAGTCTAGTTTGCTAGCATTTCAATTTGATTAGATGTAATAATATGTTTTCTTCAATTTGCTGAGCTTTGACTGTTGAGAAGACTAAATACAGAGAAAATATTTATGAAACTAAGAGGCAGAGCTGTACTTCTGAGTTAGGCAAATTATTGAGCAGCAAGTATCACATCAGAGTTATTTGCCCACTAGTGTGATACGGAATACCCAGCGAATATTACTGGAGTTTTAATTTCCAAACATTCCAGTAGGACAAATGAAAAAGGCTCCTGCATGAATCCCACAAAAGGGAGAAACAAATGGTACTGACAGGTGTTCGCTGATCATTAGCATTGGCCAGTTGGAACATTTATTGGTATCCAGAGCTCTCCATTGCTCACAATGTGCTTTAGAAAAACTAGGTACATCATTTTCATGTTTCAGAAACAGGGTCTTAAAAGACACAGAGGACTTGATTTAATACAAAGGTTGTTTAAAAACAGACAACAGTCCTCTAAAAGGGATTTTTTGAGGAACTGGAAAGAGACTTAAACTCCCCCAATATTCATGCATACTACAACTTAAGCTGCAGCCACAGGCACACTTTAACCTGGCATGAACCTGTACTGCCACTGAACAGAGCAGCCCAGTCCAGCCCTCCTTTCTCCGCTCTCTCTTATCCTTGAGTTGCCCTCACCCTTGTGCTGGCACAAGCACTTGAAGCAACTGTACTGTGACTCAAACTGGGGAACTGATCCAAGTTAGTTCAAACCCTGATCATTTCCCTGATTCAGTATACAGTGGAGTATGTCACGGAAAGGGATGGAGAGGTGTCCCCAGACAGCTCTTTTCAGCAGCTACGCAGATTTTAAGCATATGAGAAACGTAGCTTTAGTATTTGGGGCAAATTTTTGCCAGGGTAAAGTACTAAGTAAAGCAAGGGCAAAATACTAAGGCAAAGCAAAGACACAAACATAACTAAAGAAAATAAAATGTGTCCATGGCTGAGACAGAATTACTTATAAACATGCATGTTGTATCCTTATATTACTTATAGTGTTTATTAGAGGATTAAGTACCAGGCAACATGTGTACGATTCTACCTTACTTCTCTTTTTCCTTTTGTCAACACATCACAGTATTTTAGAAAAAATTCAGTGTGAAAACAAAGACAAATTATTACAAAAAACAATAGTGTACTTACACATTGCGACATGCAATAGGCTTGTAAAATCCAACTTCATGTCCTGTAAAGACTTTTTCTACGCCAAGGTGATCTCTGCAAGTAATATTTGGTGCTGGCAGACATTGAACTGAGGACAAAAAAATTATTTTAAATTAAGCAGTAACCAATGGGGTACTGTAGCATTTTTATGACAAGACACAAGTGAAATATACAAATGAAGTTATTCTGTGCAACAGTCTTGATACACAACACAGTATACATAGACATACTACTTCTTAAAAAAATGTGGTTCTTTTAAGCCAGTCCTATGACTAACTTGTCTTTTTGCATTATACGTATTAAGCAAAGTATGCAAACCTTATTGCTGCCCTAATTCTGTTGTAATTTCCATTTTGGCTCCCTTATGAGTCAATGGGAAATCTGAAGCTGACATACAGAAAACATTTTCATCATGAGAACAAATATTGGAACAAGTTGCCCAGAGAGGTGGTACCATCGCCATCCTTGGAGGTTTTCAGGATCCGACTGCACAAGGCCCTGAGCAACCTGATCTGAATTCAGTGCCAATGCTGCTCTGAGCAGGAAGTCGGACTATATGACTTCCTGAGGTCTCTTTTAACCCAAATTATTCTGTTATTCTAAGCTGAAGCTTGGCTCTTACAGGAACCAAACTGGAAATCACAGCAGAAAGTGACATCTGCTAAAACTTTGCAATATATTACCAGAATACTAGTCACTCTCCAATGTTGAAGTCTGTTGTTCTAAAGGTAAAAATCCCAGTCCTTTACCCACTTTTTATCAGTTTTCAGTATTTGTGAGTGCTGCTGGTTGCTTTCAACAAAAAAGCAAGCCAGGTTTAACATTTCTTTCCAGATTTTCCAATAACACCTACAGACAATAAGAACAGGATTTTGATTTTTTTTTAAAAAGTATCTATCCATATTGCACAGGGACCAAAAACAGAAAAAAAAAAAAATTCAGGCCATCAGTATTAGTAACAGCCAAAATATATGAGCTATGTCTGGACTTAACTGCTATGAAGTCCTACATGGATGTTACTCATCAATGTGCCTAATCTAAGATAATTACAAAAATTACATTCTTTCTTGTAAAAAAATTAAGCAAAGCAAGCAGTGCTTTCTTTTATTTAGAAGAAACCCACAGCAGTTTAAATATATTGATATAGGAAAGGACACAGTTTCCCTGTCAATGTCATGCCAGTTAAGACTCGAAATCTGCTATTCAATGGGACTACTTGGATGCTTTGAATTAAATCCCTATTTGTTTGGGTGACAGATCCCAGAAAGATGTTCAGAAACAGTACTGCTTCAAGCATGATCCAGAAGATTAACTTTGTATTACTTGGGTAATACTGAAACAGGAAGCGACTCAAATACAATCTAAAAACTGCTCTGTGTGTAAAATATTCTATACAAGCACAGAAAACAATGTTAATTAATTTAGCAACTTTCCCAACTCTGAGGCTTATCTACTGTTCAAATATATAGCGTATTAAATACAATCACATGGTAAATGGTTAGATACCTAACAATCTGAGTTGTGATCAATCTCAAACTACAGAACATTCTTTCTGCTCACTGACTGGACATTTATAATCAGGGACATGATGTCAAAGATGATGTAAAGGACTGAATAACTTAAAAGAGGATCTATTTTGGATAGTACTTTCATCTACTCTCTGAAGTATTTGGAAAACCTTCACTACCTATCCCTGAACATCCCAGTGAAGAAAATTATTCAGCATCTATGGAAAACAAAATATGAAAGACAACAAGCATACACATGTATATTAAACATGAGGGCACATAAAGCAAAACTGTTGTGATATTAGCTAATACAGAGACTATTTATTTCAATGCCTGAGAATACCAGAAAAGCTAAACATATGTAGTAAACCAAAAGATCAATTTAAGCATTTCTCTGCTGTACTCCAAAGTACATCAGGACTTAACATCAAAATAACTGTAAGGGCTTTCAAAACAGAGCCTCATGGCACCAAAACCTCCTGATGATGGAAGGCATCATGTTTCCTTAAAAAAAAAAAAAAAATTTTTGAAGGCTGTTCTGTCATGTGTCAATTCTTCTTATAAGTATAAGCAAAATTAGTATACAGGAATGGTTTGTTTTAATCACAGTAGTGCAGGACAGAGCCTAGAGGACATAACATACATAGAAGAGATTTACCAGAAACCTCACTTACAAATGTACCAATCAGAGACAAAGTATTTATTAATTTTTAGTAAAGCATCCAATCCACACAAGTGTTTTAGGCTTTCATACTAATATTACTAATCCCATGTTTTATAAAGCACATCTAGTAGATACACAAATGCATAAATTGAACACTTCCTTGGAAATGTAACTACTGTCAATATAGAAGTTAGAAATCCTTACCATATGCTGTGTGATTTCTACAATTCATTGGTTCTTGTGTACTATTATCTATTTTAGGCTCATCGCACATATATGTTCAGGTAATTGAGGAAAACATTTTTCACATGAAACACTACAACAGGTTTAACAGTAATTTATTCCACCCTCTTTAAAGCCTGAGGATTAAGATGCACCTTGATGTTAGTTTTCCTTCCTACCCATCCCCCAAAATAGTAACAGCACATTACCATACAGCAAATCTGCTAATCCAATTTAATACACCAATATATCGCATAAGCTCTGCGTTTAATTAGTGCTGCAGTCAGCACTACCTAAAGGAACTCAAATATTTATCAGTCATGGCCTCTGTATTTGGAGGCAACAAGGTAGCATGCCTAATCTAGTCTTCTTCCCTTATTTCAATATCAGAGTACCTTTAAACTGAGGTATTTGGTTGAGAAGATTAAATCTACAGTAACATACAAAATTCAGAGAACACCCAAGAATGAACATCTGAAACACCAGGAATTTAGACTAGAAAAAACCTGAGCAGGAACTTATTTCCAGAAGTCTGAACTCCCACAGCCAAGTAAAGCAGGAGATGAAGTTAACTTTTCCAGGATTTGCTTTCCTGACACTTTTGATCTGCAGCTACATCGATAACTGTCAGCTAACATCAACAAACATTTTTCTGAGCAAGGCCTGACATGTCTTTGGAGAGCCAGGAGCCTCGCAGCTAGAGTCTCTTAACACCTGCGGCCCTGCTCCTTCGGACTGCGGAGGAAGGCTCAACATTTTGCAAGGCCACAGCGTTTCGCTCGAGTGTCCTGCAAAAAATAACAAGGTGGAGGGGTGGGAGAGGGGGGCCTCTCATGCCATGGGCTTTTCTCTTTGAAAATCAGAGACACACCAAACCTGCACGCAGGCACACACTGTACCACCCCCAAAATAAACCTACGCCGCTGCAGACGTGCCCTCTCCTGCTCCTTCCAGCTGAGACCCCCTCGGGGCTCCTGACCTGAGGCTTTCTCTGACACCCGAGGGGCTCTCCCGCCCCGTCAGCCACCTCTCCACCTCCCCCTTCCCCTCTACCCGAGGGGGCCGAGCAAAGCGGCGGCCCCCCCC